GGTGTACAAATAAAAGCTTCGCTCTTTTTCAATTTTCTTCAAATGAAGGAAAATTTCTCATATACACCGTTGTAATTTCTCATTTCTTTCATACTGTCATTACTTCAGGCTTGTCTGTTTTTGTTAGCGAAAAAGCGAGAAGTTTGCTCGCTTTCGACGTAATAAAGTGTAATCAACTTCGATAAACAAGCTTGCTGGTTGCTCAACAAATGGGGATAAAAATCCTTTTGTTGCTTTTAGCAAAAATAAGAAATAAAAACTCGACTCAAAATGTGATTGACAAAGAAATATTTTTAAAGAATAATAAATGTTGGAGCATGAAATCATTATCGTTTATTAATACATAAATACCGAACAGAAAAATAAAAATAAGAAATCAATTCAATTACATACAAGTCCACTTTGTTCTCGTCGAAAGCGACATAAACCAACAGAAGAATTGAAGCATGTAGAAGGAAAAGAAAAAAAAACTTTTCCTCTCAGCTTCTATTTTTAGAATCAAATCGATAAAACCGTCCAATGCCATTTTTCTTCTTTTTGTTTTACTTCTCCAAACTCTCAGCGCATTAAAAAATGGAAATAATATTAAATTCGAAGAACATCGACGAAGTTGATTCGAAAGTATCCGTGAACAAGTCACGATTCAACTCGTTAAATTGTAAAATTATTAGATCATAATTATCTACATTAATGACAATTAAAACAAGAAATAAACACGACGATTAGGTACCATGATGTGAAGCTTCAAATATTTTTTCAAGTTTTACTTTTGCTCATGAAATTAAATCAGGAAAACACTTGTTTGAATACACTCTCAAGTTGCGCAAGCCTCATCAAGCGGCAAATCACAAATGATTCTTCCATTAAATGCTTCAAATGTTGAAGAGGAAAAAACATCAGGAAAAAACATTTGACATCATTTTCAGTTTAATTCATGACCGACATTACATATTAGAAACAAAAGCAACGCAATTTTTTCCAGACTTTATCGAAAAAAGCTTCTATAGACACTTCGCTTATCGCTCTCATTTTTTATATTTGCCTGACAAATTTTTTTATTTTTAGGGTTCTATAATCTTATCAGTGAACACACCGGCTCATTGAGCTTCGACCCATTTGGTAGATTTTGATAAGAAACTTCATTCAGGAATTAGCGGGAAATTTTGGAAGAATGACAATAGCAAAGCTGGCGTTACTGGCGTTCGGAATGTGACGTGGCACGAAGGAAAATTTCAACAAAATCAAATATTTCCATGTAATCAATGATTAAAGGTTTAACAAAATTCTTTTTTGCTTATCAATTAGTTGAAGTGAACAATGAGTTTGAAACTCACACAACAACATGCGTCACTTGTTCTGCAGTCAATTAAATTATAATTTCAACGTCATTAAAATTATGACAGAAAGATGAAAATCAAGTAAAAGAAAAGTCTCGCATCACTTTGAGTCATCAAATCTCGATTACATTCAATTTGATGACGAGAGATGAAAACTTGTTGAATTTATTAAAAGTTAAACAAAACGACATCGTCGTGTCTTGTTGCCGCATTAGGAATGATGAAAGCGTAGGCGTAAAATGTTGGGAAGAATTCTTTAACGTCTGTCTTCAGCCCGCCTGTCATCCATCAAATGTACGATGAGAAACAGAAAGTCATTTTTGCAAAACGCCCCACAATGTTCTGCATAAATATCTTAATTTTCATTCTCACTTTGTTTAGTTTGTTATTTTTCCACTGCATCGTCATTCTATTGTATGCTAATTTAAGAGAATTCTCGGAATCCGCCGACACAGTAGAACCAACAAATTAAATAAATTTATGCATGAAACATGATTAATTGTGAAATTCTAAGTTGCTTGCATTTCTCATGCATTTGCTGTATTGGAATGGCGCAAGATAAACAGCGCAACATAATAAAAGCGAATATTTTGCATACACATATCGACTTCCTCTCTCTCCTTTCTGTGTTTTGATATCTTTTCCGCTTAATATTAATCATAATCATCCCGTTTTCTTATCAAATGACTCATGTTTCTATGCAGTTTTTTTAAAAAAGAACAGAAAATTACCGCATGATGTTTTAATGTCACATCACATGTCAAATGACGTTCGACTTTGGTGTCTTTGATAACAAGCAAAGTTTTATCTTAACATTTGCAACCGGCAATAAATTTCGAGTTTCGATCGACAAGTGATAACAGTTAAAGTCGTTGTGGGAGGAAATTTAAGAACTTAATACATAAAATATGGCAAATCATAATCTATGACTATGTCATTATATTTCTTACACAGAAAGTATCATTTATTGATTGAATGCTATAAATTAGATAAGTCGATAAGAGATTCTTCTATTTCTGTTATGAATGACATTGTGTAATGAAAGATAAATGAATTAATATCTTACCTATTTTCATAACGTGCATGTCAGCCATAACATGAAAGCTTTATTTAAAGTCTTTCTCATATAATTAAGTTTAAGCGAAATAATGTCGCAACTAGAAGAGTTTATAAGTTTACGACCGAATCAGAGACCAAGCACGTTTCTTCAACTCCTTTGTTTTGACTAATTTTTTTTTTCTCTCTTTCCACTCAAAACATTCAGACCTTTAATCTTTTTTCTCCGAAACGAATGATCTTTTGAATTCTTTATTTACTTTTTATTTCTTGTTATCTGAAATTGCGCATAAATCAAACGAAAAAACATTTTAATCAACTGTCAGTAGAATATTTTAATTTTGTTTTGATTCAGCATCGCAACACGTTTTAAGAATTTAGTGTCTAGATGTGTGTCGTATTTTTATTTTTCTTTTCGTGAACATTTTGTCACACGACGACGAGTGATCTGATTTTTTGAAATTTTCTTTTTCTCCTCGACGTGGAATTTTTTTTATGTTTTTGCGCAGAAATTTCCGGTTTTATTTTTGGAAGCATACAAATATTTGAATTGACCGTAGTGAAGAATAAAGACAGAAATACGAATATATATAATAATTTACATGCTCAGGTGAGCGTCGGCTGACTTTCACAGCGAATTTTTGTTTTATTTCTTCTCGCCAATGAAATGTTTCTCTTCCATCGATTGCCTTTAGTTAAAGTAGCAATTTTTTTTGTCGCCCGATACTTCATAAGAAATAAAAAGAAATAAAAGAAATAAATACTTAACGAACCCGGCTGGAATATGAAGAAATAAAACGCTTTAACAACACAAGAAGGTTTATCAAGAAACAGGTTTGTTTCTTTCTTTTCTTCTTAATCTTCGCAATTTGGGAGATCGAACTCTCATTTAAGTCATCGCAAAATCGCTTTCGACCTGTGACTTCGTGAAACAATTTTATTTTTGTATGAAATCTTGAATTAGCTCATTGGTATCGACAGTTTCTTTTTCTAACTAACTAACTAACAGAGCCGGTCTAAGACATGACACTTGTCGAAGCCACATGGGCATGAGAAGCAAGTAAAGAAAACGTGCGAGAAGTTTCTCTGATTTTTTATTTTTGAAGTTCAACTGATGTTGTTAGAGACAAAACATTGGGAATTGATATTTAAATTAACATATTAAATGAGATATTTTTAGTTTAAAATTATAAGAGTTTCCATCATCAATGAATATTTGTGAAGGAATTCTGGCAAAGAATTTGGTTTTCTTTTTCTCACACGCGAACTTTTTTTTGATTTTGCTTTGCTTTTATAAAATAATGAACTTGAAGCTGACGTAAGTTTGAACTTGATCACACGTCGCGTGTTCACAAAACCAAAAAAGTCATAAACGAGAATGAATCACATCAAGACACTTGGAAATTCACTAAACATTCTTACGTACAATTTGTTTTTGTTTTTGACAGAACATTTGCAAGTTGAGTTTGTTTAACGTTTCACAATACTTATTTTATTTTTCTATTTTTTTTTAGATATTCGTTTCAAGTTATCATTTAAGTTTTTTTTTCTTATTTACTTGAATGTCTATTAATGCCACACACAAAAAAATATGTATACGTCTTTATGTTTTTGATTCAATTACACATCATCACTTTAATTTAAGATGAGAATGTGATAAACCACAAAACACGCAGTGTTAAAGCTGACGTTTTAAAATCTATAAAGTTGTGTAGTGAAAAGGGAAGTGAATCAACTTTTATGAGTAATGATGCAAAATAAAAACAATTTCAACTTTTCTTTTCTTTCTATTATTTTCAAAAGTAGTTAGCGGAATATAACCGAGACGAGCTTATGATTGAATGTATCAATTTTCAACTCAATACAACGACTGACGACTCACTAGAAATGAGAATCAAATCGAGCCGAAAAACACTTGATTTTCATCTCGCTTCTCTCACTCTCCGTTATTTTACTCTCTTTCTCTCTCTTCCAAAAAAAAAGAAATAAAATAATAAAACAAAAACAAAAAAAAATTTGTTCTTCGTGTATCAGTAGAAGCAGAAGCAGATAAAGCTTAGCGCAAGTAAATGTGATCGTTTGGCCACTCGGAAAATTTATTTTTAAATACACGATACAATGCGAATACATTGAAGACTCTCTTATAGATTTTGTATAAAATACAAGCAAGGCGATTAATGTTTTTGTTGGTGTTACTTAAATATTCGCCAATTTTGGGTTAAAAATAAAATTATTTATTATGATAACCACTACACATATGAAATCAACGATGCTTTTCAGAATGTAAGAGTCCGAAGTCAAAACTATTAATAGTGTCGCTTCTCTTTACTTCTGCTGTTGCTGCTGATGTTTATTGATATTCATAATCCAAGTAGGAGAGAATAAATGATCATCAACTTCTCACATGCCGAAAAAGTATTTTAAGAATTGTTTTTCTTTTTTTTTCTCCTTTTAAATATTTTTCTCCGAAGGAACGTGTCTAAAAATAACGCCTTAAATTGATGTTGTTTTTCTTTCCCAATTTATTAAACTCAAGAACAAAAAATAAATTGAGAGAAGTTCATAAACACTCGAAGAACATCTTAACGAAAAGTCTTAAAATATTCTTGTTCGACTCGAGTGCAACTTAATTTGAAACTCACAATAACAACAACAACAACAACCAAGTTCTTTCTGATGGTTTTGATGAGACAATAAATAAGTAAAAATATCTTTTATGAGTTTTTCTTTTTTTCCCAACATTGACACAGTTTATGACGACTGGATAAATGTTACACACTCATTACCAATTTGAATGAGATCTCTTGAATAAATTACTAGTTAATAGTTTGTCTTGAATATTTTGAAGTTTATCACGTTTTAAACGAATGAACATCGACCTTTAACATTCAATGAAAAATAATCATTGATAAAAAAAAGAGTTCATGTTTTGTTTTGTTTCATTTTTTCGTTTGTTTGATAGACGAAAATAGAAAACAAAATAACTGAGTTATCTAATACTGTTAACAAAACTTGGACAAAACCAGTAGACAGACTGATATAGAATTTACAACTGATAATTCCAGTATTAACAACGACATCAGTTATTAAATTAAAGTAAACATCAATGTTTACTTGACGGATGATCTCAATGCAAAGAAACTGATTAAGTGAAATGTCAGAAAAAGATCTCAGACATGAAGACGATTTTCAGTAAAAACTCATCACGAAAAGGGGAACAATTTGTTTTGTTATATTTTTGTGTCACTAATTCCTATCGGAATTAGGAAAAGAAGAAGAAGATATCCGCAAATACTTAAAAAAATAAAATGAAACGCTTGTATAAATATGTAAAAGTAAAACTAGCTTCATACGTGGAAAACATGTTTTTGTTCTTCTGTTCGTTTCTTGCCTGGAAGGTATTTGTGGAATTAAGCAAGAAGAGAGAAGAGAAACACTGGCAATAGCTTGAATAGCAAGCCCACATGCCTACAAACAAGCATGTATATGCTCGTCTTTTATATACATTTGCGATATTCTATTTTTAGAACACTGCGCTGTTTGGTTGCGCACAGCACTTGGCAATCTCTCTCACGAAAACATCTTTTTTCATTTTTTGATTCCTTTTCTCAATTGTTGTTATGTTTCGTGTATTTCTGGCTCTCATCATTACTTCTTGCCATCTTCACAACAAATAAACATCATCATCATTATTATCATCATTGTCGTTATGATTCTGTTTCATAAATTGCCAAAAGTCAGATTAGTAATTAACTTGTTCTGATTAGAGACATGCCCCGATAGATCGATGAACATTAGAGCTTCCATTCGTGTATGATCATGTAAACATAACCGGAACATGCATTAACGCCATCAAATTAATATGTTGCTATGATTGTGTACAACAATGAACTTGAAAATTTCCTTCCTTCCGTCTGACCAACTAATTAAATGTTAAATTCCAAAACACTCACAAATGAAAAAAAAGTAAGCACGATTGGTATCAATGGCGTTGAATCTTTTAAACATGGGCAGCGTTTACTTATAAAAAATTAAATAATTAATTCCCTGCCAGTATTTTGTGCTTCTTCCTTCTACCTGCGAGGAAACCAAAAAAAGAAATAAATGTACACGCACTCAGCACGCACAACAATGAACCTTTTACTCCTACGATTTGTTTTCTTTTTTCCAAGCAGGAGTTTTTTTCTGTCTTTCTTTTTTCTTCCCACCCATGCTTATAAAGCAGAAAAGCGAAAGAAAAATGAACAAAATAATTTTACTTGAGGCATATAAATGTTTATGGAAAGTGTTTTGATGGAAAAGGTCAACAGAAAAGACGGAGAAAATTTGGTGGAAAAAGAAAAAAAAAGTGTAGAAAATGTCAGAAGTTGAAAATTGTTTTTGTTTAAACGATTTTCATTGCGGTGATTTAAATTTTAGAGGTCATAGTTCATACCACTTGCTTTACTAGTGAATCACAAGTTTGGTCTTTACTCTGACATTACCAAAGCTTGAGAAAAATGAAAATTATTTAGACAGCATAACACCAATTTTTGTTCGTTTTTCCCTCCATTTTCACCGAGCTCCAAACCATCAAAGCTTTCCTTCATTTCCACTCTTCATCTCATTCCATTACATTTCATTTTTTTTCTTCCACTGCTGCATGGCCCACAGGGTGGATGAATATTGTGGCGCTGATATCTATTTTTAGGATTGTCAGTTTGAGTTGATAAAGTAGCAGAGAAATTTGGGGGGTGTGAGTAGACAACAGAACAGAAAGAGAAAAAAGGTGCACAAGGAGAAGTTTGTTTTCTCTCTGCTTTCTATCCTCGCAAGACGATATGATGTTGAAATGGGGTTAATGTCGAACAGGCGAATGAAAATGTGATTGAATTTTTATGTTGAGGAAGGACGTTGTGTGTTGATAGCATGATGATAAAGAGAGGTCCGCCATGAAAACTTCACCGAAATTTAACTTGAATACGAAAGAGAATTAGAAAGAAATATTTAACGTCTCCGGGACATTTCCCAATCTTTAACATCTAGCAATGTCATGGAGCTGAAAATTTCTATTTAGACGAATTTTTATTAATTTCTTTCAAAGGATCGTTGCCATAGCTTCATGCTAGCTTATAAATAATCTTATCAGTTAACTCATGGAGATCGCACAATTTTCGTTGAGTTTTTTTCGTAACTAAAAATAAACTCAACACCATTAAGTTCGTGTCAGGGTAAACTTGGATTATCTATAAATGAAGCTACATGCTTATCAATATTCTTTTTTTGTCAATATCAAATGATTTATATTTGAGTGTATCAAGTTTCCGTCTATTTATGTTTTGTTGCTATTTTTTCTTCATTTCATCAAAATTATTCGCTAAAAAAATTTTCAGCCTTTAGGCACAAAATTTTGTTTTCTTATTTGATGTTGACATTGATTGTAATTGAATACAAAATAAAAATACAGAGTTCTGGAAAGTATCTAGTTTGATTACACAACAAGAAGCTTGTGCGTCAAGGTGAGGGTGTTCTGCTCTAACAATAGATTTGTGCTCAACATAAACTCCTGGTTGACGTCAATGAAAAGTTCCTGCTCTTATTACTTAAAATAAAGATAAGGTGTGGGTGGTTGTTCTGGAAAATGTGGTCATACAAATTACCCCACCCATAATGATATTTCAATTTTTACTAACGTAAAAGAAACAATGTTGACAGTTCATCTTTTTTTTTGTTTAAAGACGAGCGGATCTTTCTTTCTAGACATTAAGTCATTTAATGATATTTAACGTGGGTATGTTGTCATTAAAGAAAGAGATGAACAAGCGACATTACTAATTTAGAATCAGTTAAAAGCTGTAAATCGACCTTCTATCTCTCTTTGACGATAGCTTATTAACATCCCGTTGAGGTGTTGTTTCTTCTCTCTTATGCTCGTCTAATTGCTGACGTAAATCAGCATCGAATTGGCAGAAAGAGAAAAAGAATTTTACAAATACTATGAAGGTGTTTGGATAAATATTTTTATCAGTGGATTCAACTGTTAAAGTTAAATTTGCTTGACGATTATCGTCAATATCTGAAGATTATTTCAAATGTGAATGATTTTTGACAGCTTCGAACTTTCTAATGATCGAATGAACACGACAATATTAAACAGAGGCAATAGAATTATCGTCATTATTTTTATCAAAGTCTCAAATTACTTATCATGTGTGAATGTTGATGAAATGAGAAATAAAATCGAATAACATTCGATGCATGCGTTTATTGTTTCCTTCTGTCATTCACATGACGTCATGCGACTATTTTCATATTAAGAAACAAAAAGTAATCATAACTTTTCAAAGATTGAATGACGTAGTTGTTAAGATTGTGTTGTCAATCACATATCCGCATTATTTATTTACTAAATGTAAATTATTTCCACCAAGCAACGTGATATTTCGATTTAAATTTTGTTTTCAACTATTTTTTCAGTAGCTTTGATAAAGAAGGAATACAAATTTCATTCACAAAAAAATATCTATTTAAGTTTAATTATTTAAGAATGAATACAACCATTGCCAAGGAAATAACGTCACACTTTAAAAACAATGACTAAAAATAAAATCCGCACAAAATCATATGAAGATGTGAACAAGTTGAATCTTTTTCGATTCTTTTTAAACATTTTAACACTGATTATTTCTTGGAATTATATTTCTATACTTTTTCATCTTAACAGTGAATGAATGAAATAAAATGAGCTAAATATAAGATAATTTTCAATTTAAAAATGGATTTTCATCATGAAACATACATGTGTAAAGACAATTGAACAAATAAATTGTTTCTTTATCTTTCGTATACAAAAACCAACTCACATGTGTATCAAAAAAGTAATTTTTATCATTTATTCGTTATCAAATGTATTTACAATTTATATGAAGTGGTGAACGTTCTACGTCACTTTCAATATTAAAGAAGGAATATTATTAACATAAGTGATGTCATATATCGTTACGATGGCAGCAAATTAAATATAAAAATAATTTCTTATTAATAAAAATGTTCTTCAACTCTTAACAAGAATTTTCATGTTCATCGAGCATTGCAAGTTATGTGAAGATAGCAACGAATATAGAAATAAATCGTGACATTTAGATACTCATTAAATTCACAAGCGCTCATTACAGCGATTTCAGAGACAGAAATATCAACAAATGACAACGCACTTCTTCATCTAATCTTCCCAATTGAACTTTTCATCTTTTTTCCTTCTATAAATTCGAAATAAAATCTGCAAAGATTGTTGGATGGTACGAAGTAAGAAAGATATGTAAACTTTTCAAAAAGAAAAATAATAAACAGCTTTTTATTTATAGAATTCTCATTTCTTTTTTACTCTTGAATCGAGAAGTCTTTTGCTCACTGCCTCTTTATACATTCATACAATCCTACATATGAAAGTACATGTTTGAAGAAGAAATATTTATAAATTCCAATTTTCTCTCTTTTCATCTATAATTAGCATCATAAAGGATGGAACAGCACTGACTCTGTTTATAGAGCTTCGAATTAACATAAACAAAAATATTTTTTATTAACTTCACGATTCCCGCGCTAGTGTAGAAAACAGAGGAACATTTTTTTATTTTTACAACGAGAAAAATTCATTAAGGAAAATTCGAAAGCGGAAACATTTGTTTGGGGAAAAACTTGACAGTTTAAGATGATTTCAATTCATTTTCGGCCCACTACTTAGCGTCTCATTCAAGTCAAAATATTCGGCTTAACTTTTTGACTTTAAGCTGGCCGTTGTTTTCTTTTTTTTTTATTTTTTACGATTTATGGCTAAAGATATAGAAATAATGATTTGAATTAACAATTTTTTAAAAGATTTTTCTGTTCTGTTTCATTTTTTTATTTTTTAAAAACGACATTGCTTGGTAAAATGATTTGAGAATTCAATTTTCAAAGTCATAACATTCTTTTTAGGATACAATTTAAAACAAAGAGAGAAGCTTTCAACAAGCTTGCAATATGAGAAGTTTTTTTCCTCAATCTCGTTAAAACTTTTATCATGTTTCATGTTTTCGAAATGTCAGAGAAGAAAATTGCCGATTTTTTTTATTTTAAAATTAGAAGAGATGAAATGTGTATCTTTAGAGGGTTTACTTTTATGTTCGAAACATGAGTTCTAATAAGCTTTTGTGTAGTTAAGTGTTGAAATCTTCAATATAGGAAACTCGTAAATTTACAAATGTTTCCTTTGAGGGCTTCTTTGAAAGGTTGAAGGTACATCAAAAGGCTCTAAGGTAAGCTAACAATTCTCTATGGCTTTGTTTCTTTAATAGACATAGTAAGTTTGATAAAAGCAATTATAAATGTTACGCATTTTCATTTTATGTATTCAAAATTACTTTCTTTGAATGGAAAGGAAACATTATGAAAATTATTTTTTTTCATCGTAAGAAGATAAATTCTAAAATAGATTCGCTATTTTTAATCATATACTTTTGTTTTTTTTTCTTGTTCTATAGGCAATTCATAGGAAAATGAAAAGATTTGAATGTTGTATATTCTAAGTATGATTTAGAAATATTAATTCTATCAAACAATATTAGGTAATTAGAGTTCTAAAAATGTCCTTTCTCACTTAGGGTAAATTGAAAGTATTTTTAATTTCTATTCAGTTTCTTAAAATTAGATTTTTATTGAGGAAAAAGGACCATTAGCCTATTTAATTTAGAAATGAGATATTTTTAGAATGACATTTAGGTAAAATATCGACACTTAAAAAGATTAAGTAAATGATCAAATCTAATATAAGAATTTTAGATCACGGCTTAGAACTAAAAAATGCTCTCTGAAGCTTGCACCAAAATATCATTAAGCTGAATAACCGGTATATGAAGAAAGATGTTTAAAAGCTTATAAAGTCGTTTTCTAATTTTAATTTTTTTGTTTTATTTTTCTCTCTGCTGAGAGTTCTATAAATGAAGGGAGAAGAAAGAAGATTTAAAATAAATGCACAAGATGTGCCACATGTACTCAATTTTCTGGCATGGTTAATTTTAAAATAAAACAAAATTATAATTCTATATTTAAAACTTTAATTTTTCTTTTATCTTTCCTTATTTCTTCTGTTTCTGTCTTTGTAGATATGTCTGATGTTTGTTCATCCTACTTCCATCATTTTCCTCAGCTTTACGTGTAGCTACTAAAGGTGGAATTAATTTCCAACTTACTTTGTTACATATTGAAACACAGAAACAATTGAAAATTTTCAAACTCAATCATCAAACATGCAAACATATGTCGAAAGAAGGTAGGAACGTGAAATCATTGGCATTAATATTAATAATAATTTGTAAATTTTATAAGCTTTTAAGGATTTAGTGAAATTTTCATGAAAATCGCAATATCATATTCAAAAATATTTGCTTCAGACTATAAGACTCTTTTCAATCCATTAATGTCAATTTTTCACCCCAACAACATTATTCAGAAGAAGAAAGATTGGCATGGCGACATGCAACCAGGTAACTCCAACATTCTTGAAAAAATTATTATGAAATTGAAAATATTCTCAAATGATGAAAACATATTTTGAAGATCTACACGTGAGATATGAAGCTAAGAATATTTATTGAGGCCATTGAGCAACGCTTGAATCTTTAACTCAGAAACAATGATTGTGATTCATTAAAATTTCCCCGTAAACAAAAATTAAATCGATGAGAACAAAGGAAGAAGAAGTGAGAGAGTGAGAGAGAGAGTAAAAGCTAAAGTAGAAGAAAGAAAATTGTATGGTAATGTAAGAATATTGGATTTACATTTTTTTCGCTTTGTGCACTAAACTTGTGTTTTATTTTTAGAATACTTTTTCTCCTTTCTTATTGTTTGAAGCACATTGTAGGGTGTATGCTCAGGAGTCTTCAATTTCTTTGCCGTTTACTCTATTTTAAGTATTTTTGATATAAAGTAGATAATAAGTATTGATACCAAAAAACATATTTGAATCATCAGTTAAAATAAAACTTAAAATGCCATTTGTACAAAGAGCGTGTGTGAATAAATTCTTTTTTTTATAAAGGTATTTCAAATATTTGTTGTCAAATAAACAAAATATATTCCAATGATGATGATACATTTGTTTTCCCTCACACACAATTCCTTATTCAACATCAAATTTTCTTTTTCCTTTCCTCTGTCGTGCCTGTATTGTTTTCCTGCCGCCATACACAAAATATATTATTGAAAAAGATTCAAAAGGCCTTGAAAATATAAAGAAACATACACAACAACTCCCGCTCACTCGCCTGCTCGATTCCACCTAATGTATACTGAAGAGAAGGAGACAGAGACGGAGAGAAAATCTAAGCCCCAAACTCAAAGCAAAATGTAATGCTTCCCCTTAACGAAAATCAAGGAATGTTTTTTTCTTTCATTTTTTACGTGTACATACACAACAATCTGAACGTGAAATTATGTGTCTAAAAATATCCTTAAAATCAATGATGGACATGATTTCAGTATTATGAAGAATTATCTGGATATGTCTAAAAAATGTTTCACATATCTTACTGAATATTTTATTATTTTTCCATATGTACATATCTTGAGGATTTTACTTCATTCGTTTATTGGAATCTTGTTAGAATTGGGCCTTGCTTGAATAATATTTACATATAACTCAATTCACATGTATTGAGAGTTGTCACTCAATAACATCCTTGATAATATCAACATTTTAAGTTGATTAAGTTAACGAATATAAATGACACATAATTACTCACCATGTTGATGCTGGTTCCCGGAATGAGGACTTGTTGACATGTTCGTTGTTCTGATTTATTTTTTTTTCTTTTTCTCACTAGGTGCAAAATTTCTAATAGGGCACACTAAAAACTTAATTTACACAATATAGTCGAGGAAATTCCATCGAACTTCACATTTTCTAAATTTTCAAGACACTTATCAACACAATGCGACGTAATTTAGGTAAAAAATAGAATCATAGACAGGTTTAAATTTTATTTTTCGTCAGATTCTGTTTATGTCTGACGACTTATCCAATGAAAAACTTTTCTCTAAAAACAAAACATCAATGACATTGTTACTAGGTATTTTAAAAAAGTTGTTAAAACATTTTGAATTTATGTTTATTAAGTATTGTATCTCATTTGATTGATTTTTAAATTATATTTTGATTAGTTCCTGAAGAGTTTGATTATAGACACACTACGACTGTCCAGTAAAAGAAATACTGAAAGTTTTGAAAAAAACTAAACAAATAATTTTGTGCCTCACATTCCCCTCGTGCGAAACGGTTCAAGCTTTCCAAACAAATCGGTTTTACACAATTTTGAGTGAGAAAAGAAAAGTTTTTCTGTAAGATTTCAATAATATTCGGAGGCTTTTAATAATCTCAAAGTGTGTTTTTATTTTTACCAATAACTCAATTCATCTGTTGTGCTTGAAGAAAATTGTTAAATTATTCAAGGAAGCTGAGAATATGCAATAGAAAGGTTTGTTTTGCTCGGGAAAATTTTCTCCCCCAACCCCTTTTTTCGTTGATCGTTCATTGTGGGTGGTCGGGTGATTTTTACAACCGTTCATTTTCCTTTCCCTTCATTTTCAGATGGCTTCCCAACAATTTTCACTAAAATGGCATTCACATTGCCAGCATTTAGCGAATTCTTTTAACGTTTTACGATCAGAGGACGAATTTCTCACAGATGTTACGCTTTGTTGCGATGGAAAACGATTGAGAGCTCACAAAATCATTCTCAGTGTTTGTAGTACTTATTTTCGTGAAACGTTTATGGAAAATCCTTGTAAACATCCAGTGGTAATTTTCAAAAATGTAAAGTTTGACGATCTCGCCAACATTGTTGAGTTTATGTATAAGGGAGAAGTTTCCATCAGTCAAGATTCATTGTCATCATTTCTTCATGTAGCTGAAATGTTACAAGTTCGAGGGTTATCAGAAAATCAGGAGATTGTACCTGAAAAATCACTCATAGCGACACCAGTTACTCAATCCGAGTCGCTCTTTTCAGTGTTGTCGGTGCCTGAAGGCAACAAAATCTTACTTGCCACTCCACAAAATATCTCCAACAACCAGCAACAAAATACCAACAACATTATTAAAACATCTCCCATTAAAATTGAAAACCAAACAGTTCAAACCATCAAAAACGTAGTGTTTGATCAATCAGGAATTGGTACAAAACGCAAACGTTTCACCATAAAAGAAACTCGACCAGCAAAAGTCCCCGCCATTAATTCGAATTCTACAGCAACGACAACCCAACAATTTATTACTGAAGCTGTTGAGAACAGTTTCGGTAAACAAGAGACAGTGATTGTAGATGAAAATGGAAAGGAATCAGTATTTGAGGAAGTTGAGTATTTAACAATGAAGTCAGGAATGCCGGAATGTAATTATGTCGTCAGTGCAATAGAAAACGCTGAACAAAGTCAGGATAACATGGAAGAAATGACATTAATGCAGGAAACATTTGAGATTATCGAAGAAGGAAAGCAGCAAATGGCAGATGATGTTGGTAATGACACAACTGGTGATGAACAAGCAGAAACAATGGCGACGGGTGATGGTGATACAAGTGAGTATCTGGCACGATGAGAATAATCAAATATTTGATAAAGATTTCATTTTAGAAACGGACGAGAAATCAGGTGAAGAAGCGAACAGTAAATGGACACAATGTCAGTATTGTAAGTTGGTCATAACGTCAGTGAATCTCTGGAGGCATGTTCGAACACAGCACACATCTCAACCGCCAAGAAAATGCGAATATTGTAAGAAAACATTTAAGAACAAATACAGTTTACGTGAACATGTGAGAATATCTCATGAGAGTAAACAGAACGCTACAAAAACCGAAGGGGATTCTGACGAACAACAACAAACGACAACAACAGCGGTCACGACAACAACCACAACGCAACCAGAGCAAACCACAGCTAAAGTTATTTATCTCGAGAAATTGTAAGCTTCCTCCAAGGTAAGCAGCCATGAATCATTAGCAGATTTAGCAAAAAGAAAGAAAAATGGACAAACAAGTACAAGATCATTTAATTATTTAAAGAAATATTTCTCATCTCAAATGAGTTAAAAAAAAAGCAAAAAGAAAATCGCGAAAAGTTTCTGTTTTTCTTTTATGTCATGAAATTATTAGAAAAATATAAAAGAAGGAAGAAGAATAGTTAAAGAGAAAAACTAATACCCGTAACTAGTAGATAAGGCCCATCTTTAATTTATTTTAATCATTCGAAAAAGCTCGTCGCTGTCATCATTATTAAAATTCTGTTTGTAGGATGTTCTGTGAAGAAAGTAAATTTCTTTAGATTTTAAGGAAAACATTCTTAACCATGACTTCATAAAATAAAAGAAAACAGCACGAGTAAGCCATATGTGTGTGACGTTGATTGTAGTTTTATGACAAGATAGATAAACATTGATGTTCGTTTTTCTCTCATCTCAATTTATAAGACTTTTTACCTTCTCAGCAGCACTTTGCGATTATTGATTAATGATTACGATTAGAAAAAGGAAAACTTTTCATCGTGAGTGATGATTTGTTTGAATCTTCAATATTTGAGCACACAGTAAAGTAAAAAAATTAAATCTTAAAAGACATAAATTCGATTTCTCTTAAATGTGAAAAACAAATTTCAATTAACTTTGTAAATGTGTAACTTTTCGTTCCCATTTTTATTTCTTTATTCGTGAGTTTCTCTTGAGTAGCGTCAATGTGTGCAAATAATTATTTAAATCAAATATATAAGAATATAAAAATAAGGAAGTTTTTTTCTTAATAAAATAAAAAATTAAAGATAAATGATAAAGTTTTAAACAATTGCAAATATTTAGATTAAGATTGTGTAATTTAATTGATGAATGAAAAACTTAAAATAAATATCGTGGAAAACACTTTTTCTTTTGATTTAATCAAAAAAAATTAATAATAAATTTTTTTCTGTTTTTCTGGTGCGAAAACTTAAATTTTAAATGCAACAAACGCAACATTTTATTCTTGGAATGAATTTGAATATTTGAATTATCTTCGTAGCATTAACAATATTCACCAATAAACATCCTTAAATGTTCTATCTGATCATTAATTAACTTCATCTCAAATGAAACATGAATGGAAATAAAGGAATAACAAATTTTGGTGCAACATGGTTAACGATTAATTTGATTTCTACTCTGAATATCATTAAACAATTTAATAAAGCGATGATATTCCAACAATTATGTGATGCAAAGAGATTCACGGATAATGAGAGATCCGATTATTTAATGTTGTGCAAACTTTAATCCATTGAAATATTGTCCATGTTATTTGAGTTAGCGATTGATGATGAAGATGAGCTGCCATCGTCTCTTCTTGTTGTTCTAAGACGTTGATTGTTAGCCAAATGTGAAAAGTCACGCATGACATCATTGTACGTTGAATCTCCACCTGGTTCTCCATCATCTGTTGCGCCAATTTCTTCATTCAGTTGATGCAGACGAAGAAGCGTCACAACATCAGCATTCTGTGAAAGAATTTCAATTTTATTTTAAAGAAACTTCATTTAAGTTTAGCACTTACAGCAGTTGCAACTGCAAAATCGATTGGAAGTTTTCCATCATTTGTCGTTAAATCATATTTGGCTTTATGTTTGAGTAAGAGATAAGCGAGAGCTGTGTTGCCAATTTCAATTGATAAATGCAGTGGTGTATAGCCCTTGATGTCTGTGCAATTAATGTTGGCACCATTGAGAAGCAAAAATTCGCATGTCATCAGAGATCCCTTTAAAAGACATGAATGAAATTTCAAATAAAAATTAATTAAAGTACTTTATAACTTACCGATAATATTGCCTGATGCAAAGGTGTACGATTTAAATTGTCAGGATTCTCCCAATTCTTATCAGCACCAAGACTTATTGCTTGACACATCACTGGGAGATTGTGAGCTGTTGTCGCTTTGTAGAGAACATAATTTGGGTTTAATTTGTCAATTTCTTCTTCATCTGTGAGATGGTAAAAAAATTAAATGAATTATTTATTGATTTTATGACATTAAAGAAAAGTTTACCAAGAACGTCTTCTTCTCCACTTGTTGATTCTTGATCGGAATTTGTAAACAAACTACAAGTCTCCGGAATCAAACTGTAATTACTATCAATCAAACAATTTCCCAATATCAAAATACTTTCATTGATTTCTTTTTCATCTTCACTGTTGTCATGTTCCTTTGATGTTATCTTCATGTCGTTATTATTGTTTATGTGACTATCGAAAGAAAATTCATTCATGCAAATTGAAATTATTAAAATGTTGAAAGGTTTTACGACTCACCGTCTAGCAGCACGACGACGATGCTTCTTGACACTCCATTTGCTTGGTGAGGGAAGAAGGTTTGGGGGTAACAATTCAGTTTTCTTGTTTTCATCATTCAATGGAAGAACAAACTTCTTATCAACATATTTTGCAGAAATCCATTTTTTTCGGATGTCGTCGTCACAATTTTCGGTCGCTTTTTCAAGATCGCTCATAAGTTCATCATAATTAGCCTCGTAGATTTTATTTACGACTTCATTTCCCAGTTCCATCATCACCCGAAGGATTTCCGGCTCCCACACATCTAAAGTTAATGATCGAACTTTCGAATAATGAACGCCAAGTGATCGATGAACACCGGAACAACTTATACACAAAGTGATTCCCAAATTAATTGATGCCCATTTTGGATCAGAACTTCCACAATCAGCACAACGCATGTTGCCAGGAATCAACAACATTTGTCGCCAATTTATTCTCTTTTCCTTCGGTTTATTTGCTGGCGGTGCCATTGACGAGCTAGGATTTGGATTACTTGATGATACTGATGAAGACGATGCACACATGTGGTTTGAGTAGCGACTGTTATTCTGAATTGCATGTCCAATGCCAGAATGCAAAGCTTGAACCCAAGCTTGATATTGATTCTCAGAGTCAGCTTGCAAAATGTGACTTTTTGTAGGTGAAATGACTTCGAAGCAAAACCTTCGATCAGAATCTGTTACGGGTCGAACTGTGCACAATTTTAAATCGTCTTCCATAATTGTTGGAAGATCTTCTCCCGAACGTTTCCTGTAATATAATTTATTGTCTTTCATGTAGAACCATCTACGATTCCACGTTTTAAAAGCATTTGATGTTCGCTTGAATAAATATCCTTCCATTTCTCGTCCAATGACTTTGTTGTCATCCGAGACTTCCTTTGGCTCATCTAAAAACCCATTAACATAATTATGACGTTTCTGCATTGTCTTCTCGAGTTGTGCATATTCATTTCTCATAGTTGTAACTTCTTCGTCCAATTCTTTGAACAAATAGGTGTCATAGTCTTGGCATAAATCACTCCCTTGATGGAAATACGTTGAACATGCTGAAACGTAACTTAAAAGTGTTGAGAGAATTTCAGGTCGCTTCTTTGATTGTATCATTGTGATGTAATTAACATAATCCAATGCGGAATGTTGGAATTGAGATTTTGTTGAGAAAACATAATTTTCAGCTTCAATTATCTCCTGTAAACGATTTTTATTCACTTGTGAGTTTTTATACAATGCACCATCATAATTCTCAGATATCTTCGAAAAGATTTGTTTGTAATCTTTCACTTCGCGAATATCTTTCTTTAAAAAATTTGAGATATTTTTCAATACTGTCTTCGAGCACTGTTCTAAAAGAATGTTGTGAAACTTATTCATCTCTTGAAGACAGTGAATGATTTTTGTCAATGCATCTTTATCTTCAGGGAAATGTTTTTGAAGCTCCCATAAAGAAGTTGCAAATGCTCTGTGGAAAGAAAAGTAAATAAAATGTAACGGTCAATTTTTTGAACATGAAATTTAAAAACAAAAGGTTCGACGTAACTGCTCCTGGTGGTGAGAATCGAAATTATTTTTACCTTAATTGTAAAGTTTGTGCATAAAAATTGAAGAATCTCATCGAAAATAAGGGAAAATAGAATTCATGTGATTATAATTCTATTGTCATTATATCGATTTAAGTTGATATTTATCACTTTTGTTCAGTGTGAGTTGAAATTTAATGGATTAAGATGTAAAAATCATAAAAATATTTTTGACCACACCTTTTCATAGAAATAACAACAATCTTATTAAAAATTGATAAGAATTCATTTTTTACTTAACTTAATGTGACAATCAAATAAATATTGACGTATTCAAATAATTTTAAAGGCTTCTAAATTGCCTCGAAAGTGTTTTTGACTCATAATCTACTTTTTAATGATATTTGTTGTAAATAACTTTTTGCTCTTATAAGATTCTGTGAAATCAGCAATGATCTTTGATCGTTATTCGTTTTTTTCTTATCAGATTTTAAGTAAAGAATTATTTTCCTTTTTTTAGTTTTAATGAATCTAGTGACTTAATCGGAGCAAAATCTCAAACATTCGTACAATATCATGGCCTTACACAGTTCTGTGTTCGCCATCATAGCAATAAGCTACCTGACAATACTACCTCATCATGGAAATGATGCGCAAACGACTACTGGATACGATCGAAATCGAATAGATCAGAATTTGAACGACATTAATAATCAAAATCAATTTGGCCGAGGAAGATTTGGTCAACAGATTGTGGGACAACAACAACGTTTTAACAACTTAAACGATACTCTAAGAAACATTCCGACACCCCCAAACGACCCTAGTACATTCTATGACAACAGTAAACGTTACAGCTATCGTGATAGAAATCGAAACTACAACAATTACAATTATGGTGGATTGTTTCAGTTTGATGACTTTGATCCCAATCATATGTGCCCTGAACATTGGATTGCTTATCGTCAATCGTGTTTACGTTTCATAAAGTCACCGAAAAGATCTTGGTACGAAGCTAAGAAGATTTGTATAGCAGTTAAAGCTGATTTGGTGAATGTTGACACAGTCGACAAACACGATTTCATCACAAGAGAACTTTATTTACAAAATCAAGTGCAGAATCGTTATTACATATCAGCTAAGCAAACAACACCAAACAATTGGGTGAATGACGATGGAACACAACTCTTTTCAACAGGCGACTCGTTTTCTTACGAAGAAACTGAAATTGATCGTGAACAAAACATTGAATACTTGAACAATAACAAACTCTACATCGCCAACCGAAATCAACAGTCGAGTTTCAATTACAACCCACTCAACAATTTAAATCCATTAAATAGAAATCAAAACACTTACAACATTTATGATAACCGTTTGTTGCAAAAGGATCGCGTCGTTTATGGATATTCACGCGAAAAGAGTCGTTGGATGTACATGCCGACATATGACTTTGAAAATAATTTATTTATTTGTGAATCGACACTTTTATTCTCAACAGACAACATCAATGTGCATGCTGATAGTAAAAGGGAAATTGATTATGGAGTTGAAGTTGTTGATCCATTGAAACTACCACGCGGACCATTTTTCATCAAACAACCTCGCGATACAACTTATGACACTGGAAAGAGACGAGTCACAAATGATGTTTCAATTCAATGTTTAGCTGGTGGATATCCAACACCGACTTATTCATGGTTCAAAGAGCAATACATCAATGATGTTTTAAACTTCACAAAAATTGATCCATTGACAAACTCACGATACACAATAAGTGGTGGCAATTTAATTATTTACAACCCAGATCAATCATTGGATCAAGGAACGTATCATTGCGCTGCTACCAACAAATTTGGAAAAATTCTTTCAGAAAGTGTTGAACTTAACTTTGGTTACATTCTTGAGTTTAATTTGAGACGTGCACCGGAAGTTGGTGATGTTAATTGGGGAAAAACATTATTTTGTGATCCACCCACGCATTATCCTGATGTGAAATATTACTGGTCACGAGATTATTTCCCGAATTTTGTTGAGGAAGATACGAGAGTGTTTGTGAGTTATGACGGAGCTTTGTACTTCTCAGCACTTGAATCTATTGATCAGGGAAATTACTCGTGCACAGTTCAAAGCGTTGTCAGTGACACGGGAAGGAATGGTCCATTCTTCACACTTGGTGTTCGTGCACATCCAAACTTCCAAGCATTGATTTTTGCTAATTCTTTTCCGAAAGTTTTCCCGCCATCACCAATTGCAGGAGAAGAAATTCGTCTTGAATGTGTTGCTTTTGGCTATCCCGTTCCGCAATACCAATGGACGAGAAAGAACGGAGATCTTCCCAAACAATCGTACACGTTAAGCTACAATCGCGTTCTTATCATTCCAAATGCAACAGTCAACGATAATGGCGACTACATTTGTACAGCAGGAAATGGCGAAAACGAAATTCCAAAATCAGTTAATCTCAATATACAAATGAGACCCAACTTTACGATTCCATTGAAAGATCAAATCAAAGATTTCAATTCAGAAGTGAACTTCGTATGTGAAGCAAATTCAATTCCAGATTCAAACTATACTTGGTATAAGAATGGAAAGTTTATGGATAAAGAGAAGCTCGATCGTGACAAGTACATCATTCAAGATAATTTATTGACAATTAAATATCTTGATCCTGATAAGGACAATGGAATGTATCAATGCCGAGCACAGAATCAGTTGAAAGCTGTTTATTCATCAGCACAATTACGAGTTCTTTCGATGAAGCCATCATTCAAGAAACATCCTTTAGAAGCGGAGATTTATGCTGTGTCGAATGGAAACACGTCAATTGTTTGCAATCCCGAAGCAGCACCAAGACCAAAGTTTCAGTGGAAAAAAGATGGAATTGTGATATCGGCTGGTGGAGCTGTTGGAGCTGGTGGAGGTGGACATCGAAAGATAAAACCAGACGGAACGCTCGTCTTGTCACCAACGTCAAGAGATGATGAAGGTGTCTACACATGTGTTGCAACAAATGCTTACGGAACTGATGAATCTCGCGCTCGCTTAATTGTTCTCCAAGAGATTAGATTCTCTCAAGCTCTACAACCACAAGTGATCACAGAAACTGGAAGATTTTTATTCATGCGATGTGAAATTTGGTCGGATTTGATTCTTGATGTTGCTTTTGTGTGGACATTTAATGGCGAAGTCATTAATCCACATGATGAAGAGTTTAATAATAGAAGAATTGAAATAAATTACAATGAATTGGTGATAACAAACACATCACTTCTCGACTCAGGATTCTATGAATGTATAGCCAAATCAGCTGTTAATGAAATCGTATCACGATCTCAAGTTATTGTTCTTGGTGCACCAGGAATGCCAGGCGGCGTTAAAGTTATTGATATAAAGAAAAATGAAGCGACACTTGAATGGATTGATGGGGCAATAAATGGCGGAACGATTCTTTTCTATAACATTCTCGCAAGAACAAATTGGAACAAGACTTGGCATGTTGTGGCTGAAAGCATACAAGCGCAAGAGGTTGATCGCTACACAGGCAGAAAAAGGGCAGAAATTGAAGGATTGTCGCCTTATTGTTCTTACGAATTTGCAGTCGCAGCAATTAATGGCCTTGGAGTTGGACCGCAAAGTCTTCCATCACCAACTCACAACACATTACATGACAAACCATATACAGCACCAAGGAATGTCAATGGTGGCGGTGGAAAAATCGGCGATTTAATCATCACATGGGATCCAATTCCACAAATGGAACAAAACGCTCCCGGAATTCATTACAAAGTTTTTTATCGATTACATGGCAAAGCTGGTCAAACTGAATGGGCTTCAAAAATAAAAAAGAAAGAAGGAAATGTTGGAAAAGCAATTATTCATTTTGAGAAAGGCAATAATTACTACACACAATATGATGTGAAAGTTCAAGCAATTAACGACCAAGGAGTCGGACCCGAAAGTAATGTTAGTGTGATTTATTCAGCCGAAGATATGCCGCAAGTTGCACCGCAAAGTATTTCAGCTATTGGTTTCAATTCGACATCTATCAACGCTACATGGTCGCCAGTTGATCAAAGTCGTGAAATGATTCGTGGAAGACTTATCGGACATCGAGTAATGACTTCATTTCAATTCATCGTTTTAGAATTCTTTAATAATTTTTTTTCTCTTTTTCTCAGTTGAAATATTGGAAACAAGGCCACCAAGAAGAGGACGCGGTTTATTATTTATCACGTACAACTCGAAATTGGGCACTTATCGTAGGTCTTGAACCCGATACATATTATTGGGTGAAAGTTATGATTTATAATGCTGCTGGAGAAGGACCTGAGAGTGAACGATTCTTGGAAAGAACTTATCGAAAAGCACCACAAAAACCGCCATCATCAGTTCATTTGTCTGGCATCAATCCTACGACAATCAAAGTTGTTTGGCGTTATGTGTCACCAGCACAAGATGAAGAGCCGCTTCAAGGGTATAAGATTAGAGTTTGGGAGGCTGATCAAGATATGGCAACTGCTAATGACACTATTGTTGGATTGGGCCATGATCTTGAGTATTATGTCAGCAATCTAACCCCAGGTTCGTTAAAATTATCTTTTTTCTCATTTGCACTTTTTAAAAATCTTTTTTGTTTACAGGAAAAGTGTATAAACTTCGAGTTCTTGCTTACAGTAACGGTGGGGACGGTCGAATGTCATCACCCACACACACTTTCCAAATGGGTAAGACACGTCCAGATCGTAACTAAATAAGTTTCTTTTCATTCTGTGGTTTATTATGTTTTATTTTTATTTATGACTCAAAAATAATCAACAGGTGAAAGAAGTTCACATTTCTACTTTTCTATTCTTTCCTTTGCTTTTTTCTGATAATAAAAAAATTATCATTCGTTATTGTTACTTTATTTGTTATCATTTCTTTTAAGTAGGAAAAAGAGCAGCACAAACTTTTTCTTTCTTTCTTTTCTTCAACTACTGATTTCTATTATTTAATGTCTTCACTTATTATGGTTTGGTAGATTGGTTTTAATTCAATTCTCAATTTTGATATGTGTGAGATTAACTTTTAAATCGTTTTCCTTAAATTTATTTAGGAATCACAAAATCACCGGTAAATTCAGCGAGAATTAATAAACTCGACGACATGCTGATCATCTCAATTCTCTCTATCATTTACTTATTCAAAATGGTTTGTTATTAGAAGTTAAATGACATTGTCATTTTGAAATCATTAATTAAGACATTTTAAAAGAAGAAATGAAACCTATCATGAAGCAAAAAAGACAATTGAAATTCGTTTGTAGAAAAGTAAAATATTTTTGATATGAATGAAAAGTTTTTAAAGACATGAAAAAAGAAATCTGATTTTTATGTGATGCAATTTATCATCAACATTCCAATTTAAAATTAAATATCTGAAGCTTATAAATGAATAACGTCATCCAACCGTTAAGAGAATCTTCGGTAATGAAATAAAGACATTACAAATGCTTAAAACACTAACAAACATTCAAAGGCCTTACACACATAGGAAAAATTAGCTGTCAGAAAAAATATTTTGATTCCTCTGCTTCTAATTATCGAAAAAATATTTTCTTGATTATACTTTTAATTGAGCACAACAATAAATGCACAACATAATGAAAAACGAATAAAATTCATGAGCACAAACAGAAGTAAACGGACAAGAAAGAAGTGTCAAGTTTCATAACTGGAAATAATCAAGATTAGCGCCTTATCAGTGCAGGAAAATTTCGTCCACTAGGTTTTAGTTCTTTTCGTTTTTTTATTTACTATTTTGTTGTAACAATTTCTTATGAGATTCATTCGAAAAGATCTTTTTTTATTGTAATTTTAGTATTTGAATTAATGATCCATTGCGAAAGAGCTTAACATTAGAAACAGAAAGAAACTTAAGAGATGAATATGAAGAAAGAAATCTTATAAGAATAAAGAAAATTATTTTAAAAAATTCTTCTTTTCTTTTAATTCTAATCTCATTTATTTTCATCGATTTTATTTTCAGTGACGTGTGAATAGATGGAAAAGAAGTATTCTTGATTCGTATTCTACGGATTCCGTAGGATATTTAACTTCATTATTATTTCATGTCTAGAGCTAATTTATTTAGGTAGGTAGTTAGAAGAATGAGTCAGTCGTGAAAGTTGAACTTCACGCAACAGGTCTATGCTTTGAAAAAGAATCGTTCCACTAACCTCGTTGTTTTATTTATTTAATAAATAAAGGACACGCAACAGAATTTTGGTAGACTTAGGTCGACGTTTCTATGTCAAGTCTTAATTATTGTTTCTTCATTTCACTTGTCATTGCTTATTTATGATGTGAAATGGATATGTACAAGTACAACGGAAATAATAAGAAGGCAATCATTGTTACATATTGTATTGGAACAGATGATTCATGTTTCGCTTGGAGCAACAGACGATAAAAAAATAAATCTTTGCAATAACTAAACGTGGAAACATTTTCGGTCTTTTTTTTATTAGGGATTTCACGCAACAATTGATAAGAATGTAAACATTACTCACGATTGATTGACAACGAATTGACGACCCGAATCACAAGAAGCAGTTGCTAGCTTTAAAATCCTCTCAAGCTTTTGTTCCAGATTCTCTATGTCATGCTCTTGCTCTTCAAGCTTGAGCCTAAAAGAACAAAAATTTCATTTTAAAATTATATTTTCACTCTTTAACAAGCAACTCAATTCAATTAAGTTTTGCAATAAATTTAATACGAGATGAAAAACTTTCATTTTTTTGCTTGCAAATATTTTTTTAAATCGAATTCACCTAAAGTTTGGACTATCAATCAGCACATCGTGAAAATCAATACTACAGGCCATTATTATTATTTTTAAATATAACTAATAACACTTTAACATTAGAATAACTGAGAGAATAACAAACTTTTTAACATGCAAGTTTTTAGAAAATTAGTTGAAAAATCCTGCTACTCTTTTCACTTAATATGTATCTTCATTTATGAATTCAAATATCGATTCTTTTTTAATCACAAATATCTAATTAGTTGTTTGGTGTTGTTTTAATTATTTATTGTCCTTTAATTATGAGCTCATTTACTAAACAAAATCAATCGGTTTAAGACAAGGGAATGTTCGGTCGGTTTTTTAACCGATTGTTTTTAAATATTTTTTATTCGTTAAAATTTTTAACGATAACGAAAAATGAGTGAAGGGTCATTACGATTAATAACTGGGAATTTAGATTTTATGTAATTGCCAGATAATATGAATCTTATGCAATCAATTTCTAATCTTTTTAATTTTCTTCCATATTCATGTAGCAGGTACTCCATCATACTATTTTCTGAAACATCAAAAATGAAATCTTGGTCCATATTTTTCCATCCACAAATCGTCAGTTCTTCAAGCTTGTAATGGTGCTCGAATGCAAGGATAAGAAGGTCATCATTAATGAAGAATCCATTGATGACAAGTTTTCTTATATTCAAAAATGATTTTAAGAAAGAGAAATCTAATCTTTTTGCCAGTCTTTTGCTGGTGTTGACAATTTTGAATTCTTCAATTATATTGGCTCGATTCAAATTTGTTTCAACCTCCGGAATGTGTTTCAGTTTGTCAACATTAACGAATTCAATTATACAATGAAGTAAACTGCATCGCAATCCTGCTGTTCTGAAGATAATGGAAATAATATCCAACATGTTGGTGACGATATGAAGGCTTTCCATATTCTTCATGTTCTTCAATAACGATTCGCAACATCTGGGTGTAATGATTAAATCTTGAATGCTGATGTAAACTTTTCTAATTTTTCTAAAATTAAAGGAGGTAAGAGCATTCAATGCCCATTTTTCTTTACCAACAACAAGTCCAAATTCTTCCAAATTCATTCGTTCAATTATTGAGAATCCCGACGATACAATTCCTTCAGCTTTTATTTTAAGTGTTTTTAAATCATTTAAATTGTTTTTGATTGATAGCAGTACGTCATTCATGATGAAACAATTTGAGAGATCAAGGGATGCAAGTTGATATTGTTGATAAAAAAGATCTCCAATTCTGATATCAGCAGGTGTTACAGATTCTAATTTCAAATGAGTTAATCTTGTTTGATTTAAAGGAAAGTATTTGGCAACATGTCCACAAGCTGTAACTTTTCTTATAGTTGAATTAACGGTCAATGATTGTAAAATGCTTTTAATCAAATTATTTGATTTTCGATCAACTTGACTTCCAAAGCATCGAGTTTCAGAAAAGTCAATTGATGACAATTTTTTAAGCGTAAAATCGACTATTAATGTACTTGACAGTTTAATACGGCAGTTAATCAGCGCAAGTTTTTTAATTTCAGGAACAAAACGGAGAAGACAGCATAGTTGATCATCGGACAATATACATTTGTTTAAGCACAGAACTCGAACATTTGACTTGAATTTCAGCAGAATTTTTTGGACAAAAAAGAATATTAATCCATTATCTCCCAGGAAAAGACATTTGTTGAAATAATATTCTGTGAGCTTTCTCTCTGTTGACATAATCGATCGACAGAAACTTGAGGAATCCTATGAGAAATTTAAATTATTTTAGGTTAAATGATTTATTTTTCGAATTTATATTTACATCAGTTTCATGGTTTGCTTCTAAAGTAAATTTATAAACGTCACTTTCGTTATCAACTTCACAAGCCAATCTATAGAGTCTTTTGTTGACTTGAGCTGAATATCGTCTGCTTGGAACATAACTCAAAATATGCTTTATGACACTGCCTGGTAAATCTTCAAGTCCTTTTTGTAATGTTTTAATGACTTTAACATTAGATTCCTTTTGGCTCAGAGCTTTATATTTGTTATCTCTCTTTTTATGATGTTTAGGCATTTTCTGACATTGAATTTATAGTTAACTAGATCGACTTAACATTTCGAATGATTTCGGTTACGTTACAAACGAATTCCAGGAAATTTGAACCGTTTTATGCAGGGATGAAAACCTTGAATTTTTCTATTTAAAAAATCTTTACTTCTTTAAAAGATCTTTTTATTCTTAAATTAGGAAATATTGGGACAAAATTCAACAAAGCATTTATCATTCAATTAAATAATATCAATTTGTAGAAAAATAAGATTTTAAATTTTTTTTCAGTGGTGGTTGTTTTGAAGTCGAAGCTGGTCTTTTAATTCTTTTAATTTCATGCTTTTGTACGACGTTTCTCTTCATTTCATCTTCACGTAATTTATGAGCAAAGTGATAATCAAGATGCTCGACATATTTTTCATTTGTAATAAATTTTGAACATTGTTCGCATTGAATTTTATTTTGTAATTCGTTGACATCTTCAGGATCTTCAGTATCAGGTTTGGTAACGTAGTTTGTAATTGTATTTAGTGTAGTTTTATTACTTTTACTTTGACCAACTTTCTTCATGACTTTTTGTGTAGAAGTGCTTTGTGTCGATGTAGTTGGTTTTTGTGACTTCCGAAATTCTTCACGTTGTTGCATTGATATTTGAAATGCTAAATGATGATCTAAATGCGTTAGCATATCAAGCCTCGCTACCATTTTTCCACATTCTATGCAAGGTTCTTTGGGATTCAATACATCAAATGGTATTTGTTGCGGTTGGAATTCAGCGTATGTTTCTGTATATTCCGGAACGGGTTTCTCTGAATTTTCATCTTCACAATTTGAAAGTTCTTCCAAAAATTCTTTCTCAAGACCACCCACATCAGCTTGATCGTCATTGTCATTTTTAGAATCGTCATCAATTTCTTCAATCGTCTTCACAGAAAAATTCTTTTCATCTTCACTTTCGTGTTCTTCCACAATTTCATTCTCTTGTTCTTGGTCAGATTCACGGTCAGCATTTAAGTTGTCAATGTCAGTTTCACTCTCAGATTTCACAGTATAATTAAAACATTTTCCAGTTTCGAACAAAGAAGCTTCAACACTTACATGAATTATGCTTTTGAAGTTATTATTTATTAATATTCTGTCATTTGAACCTTCAATCATACTATCAACATTTATCAATTTATCAGAAAAACTTTCAAGTGAAAAAATTCTTGAAATTTCCTTTTTGTCATCATCTATCAACTTCAAAGTGATTATTGTTGGTGATCGATTGTTACTTTTCGAATCTATAGCTGAAGCATCACAAATTTGCTTAACCAACTCATTCGTCCAATGTTTCAAAGTTCTTATTCCTTTAATCGCATGATCACCGAGAAATGATAATTTCACTTCAAGATTGTTCTGTTCTGATGTGGTTACTTCAGAAACTGGCTCAACATTTAAGCGTGGTTGAATAACTTTATTTATTGACGGTGTTTTTGTCATTGCACTAGGTGATTTAAGTTCAAATTTCTTTATTGCTTCAATACTTTTCGGCGATGCTTCTGGTTTATTATTTTTCCCTGAATTTGTTGGAATATTTGTGTCTCGTTTATGATGATTCTTCAACATTTCCTGAACATTTTTGCCACCACTTACAGCAGCATTATTGTCTTCAAATTTACCAGCAGTTATTCCGAGATGTTTAATGTTGCTATTCATGAGAACAGATCCATTTTCTTTAAGAAACTTTACAGAACATCTTTTAATGGTCTCAAAAACTTCTTCTGCGATTTGTTCTGCTATATAAGAATTTAAAGAATTTCCATTGAATGCAACTGTTCTTGAACTTGATGTATCTTTACCAGAAAACGAAGCAGATCCTTGTGTGAAGACAACAATCATGTGTCTAGCTGTTCCGTTACATTCGACAGCATCTTTCTCAAGCCTTTCTACGATCTCCTTTGCTAATTCTTTCAACCAAAACTTCAAAGTGTGAATTGAAGAAATTTCATTTTTACCTCGAAAATTCTTTGACACTGCAATTGATTTGCTCATAAACTTTGGTGTAACCTTCTCAAGATCAATTCCACGAGACATCAAATAAAGCCATGATCCAATACGAGGTTGAAAAAGTCGTTGTAGTTCGTCCTCAGAGAATTTTATAATTTCTGCCATTGTTTTTACGTTAAGTTTTTCACAAACTTCTTCACCAAGTTTCCCTCCAAGTGACTTTATTTTGTTAACTGAAAGGTTTTGAAACAGTTCACTTATCGACTCGATTGGAAGAACTGTTTGTTTGTTCGGTTTGTTCATACCGCAAGTTAATTTGGCGAGAATTTTATTATGTGCAATGCCAGCTGAACATTCGTACTTTGTTTCTGCTTTTACAGCATTCCTTATTTCATTTACAATTGATGCTCCTATCAACAACCGAAGTTTACTGCTTGCATACGATTTTCTATCTTCTTCGTCTATTTCGGAGTAGTTCTTATCAACAGAACTCGTCACGTCTTGAACAAATGATCCAATGTTTGGATATCCCACAGCAAAAGTATTTACAAAGTTGACAGGTTGAAGTTGAAATTTATTTTCACGCATTTCTTGAATCTTTTTAGTGACATTCTCTGTGATATCCAGATAAGCTAAGGGAGGATAAAATTTTAGTTCATTTTAATTTATGTAAATTATTATTTTTAAATTTACCTTCGTCAACACTTGCTCGTTCAAGTAATGGTGTGAATGATTGCAGTACTTTGGCTACTCTATATCCAGCATCACGATATTTTGTCAGATCTGCTTTTCCATTTTTTGATGGAACTTTTACACAGATTAAAGATGGACAAGCTGCTTTAGCTTCTTTCTCTCTCATATGGCGAGTGACACCCAAAGCTCGTGCTGCATAATTAACAGCAATTATTCCAGCATTCTCGAGATATTGAACCACAGCTATTCGTAAAGTTATTATTTAATTAACTTGCTTGTATCAATAAATAAAGCATTGCAAATTTTATGAAATTCAAAAAATAAACGCTCACCAATCGGTTTATTCGCAAGTCGTTCGGGATCTAAATATTCCTCGACTTGGCAGTAAAAGCAATCCATATCAATAAGGACAACAATTCTATCGTACTTTTCCTTTAATGGCACATATGATTTAGTAGACGTCATGATTTAAAATACTCGAAATAAACTTTGACGTGAACAAATTTTTGCGCGATTTTTTTGTTTACTTTTGATCGCCAACGACTGATCCGTTATAGTTAAAGCTAAAACTCTAAATTAGTTTTTTATCATTGAAAATCTGTCTTTTTATGATGACTTATTGCTAAGAAATTATTTGAAATAAATCACTTGAAAAGATAAATTTAATGATTAAAACCTTAAGATCAAACCTTCAATCAACAAGTTTCATTCTCGGTTAAACATAATATTTAAGATGGAGTGACCACTATAGTGTCGTTCCTCGAATATAGAGCACGAATTATGTTGTGTTTTCTTATCGCTCTCGTCGCAGATACAACTAATATTTTTCTCGCATATTCGACTTTACAAACCTCAAGCAGGACATTAAATAACGAAAAAAAAAGACGTGTTAAAGTGATACCGAAATTTGTTAGACAGAAATAGGTTTTAGCAGTAATATGGACAGAAATACGTAATTAAAATTGTTTTATTTTGACCTACTTTCATGTTTCCATTTTTGTTTTTTTCTTCACACAACAACCTAAAACAAATTTGACGACATTTTTCTCCTTTCAGGCGTTCTATCATCCCACCAATGAATCATGTCAAACCCCGCAATGGTCCAATATCTCCACGCGACCGCGATATGAATAATTCATCCTATTCAAATCACCAGCCATCACATTATAACAATTACAATAATTCGAGTCAAAACAACAGCCCAAATAGCCAGCAACACCAACATCATCCAAACTCAGATTTAATAAACTTTGTTTCTGCTGCATGGAAAGAAAAGGTAATTAAAACATAGCTTTTTTCTGTTTTCGTTGTTTATTAATTGAAATTTTTTCGTTTGTTTTTTTTTAGATGTACTGTGAAGTTTTTAAGCCGGAGAATGCAGAGAAGCTCTCCCATTTTGATCTCGATGGGTGGTTCAGAACGCGGCAACACTAAAGCGTCTTTTCTCATATCCGACTCAATGTGCTCGTTAGTCACGTAAAACTACACCATCTGGGCTTACATTAGGGGAATCCCTATGTATAAATAATTATGGCTTTCCATTTATGGAAAGATTCTCGTGAAAAATCTTGATAAGTTCTCTACCTAAGTGTCACTTTCTTTTTTTTTAACATTTCCAATCAGTTTTAAAATGCTTTTGATTTTCATTGAATATATAAAAACTTTTCCTAGACATGTTTCTTTTTTTATTAATAATAAAATTCATAGTTAACTTTTTTCGCTAAACATCATGTCAGAAAAAATCCCCTTTGTTGTTTTCTATTATAAAATTTAACGGAAACATAAATTTCAAAATCAGTTTCAACTCAAAACTAATGTTCACCGTGCGATAGATTTTTATGTTTAATTTTTTGTTTACCTTAGAGCGGCATTTAGAAAATAAAAATAAAAAAGTAATTTTACAAAAACATACGACATTTAAAATGAGTAATGCAAATGCAAGATCAAATACTTTCAATGAAACATTCTTGAATGATTCTTATCAAGATGCAAGTACAGTGTCAATGGAGCTTGATAAAGGTAAGAATTTAACAGAAAATTAAAAAGCAGAAAATCATAATTATTTTTGTGTTTAGGCTTAAGATCGTCGAATATTGGTGAACAATGTGAAGCCATCGTAAGATTTCCAAAACTGTTTGAAAAATATCCTTTTCCCATAGTCATAAACTCTAATTTCTTGAAATTGGCTGAATTTTTCCGGCTCTCTGGTTCCAACTTGTTTCGATTATGGGTTCTACGAGTTTGTCAGCAAAGCGAAAAGCATTTGGAGAAAATCACCAATGTTGATGAATTTGTGAAAAGAATTTTCACAGTTATTCATTCAAATGATCCTGTAGCGCGTTCATTAACATTAAGAGCACTTGGCTCTGTCGCATCAATCATTCCGGAGAAGCAACAAGTTCATCATGCGATTAGAAGAGCTCTAGACAGCCATGATACAGTTGAAGTTGAAGCTGCTATCTATGCAAGTGTTCAATTTGCAGCTCAATCGAAATCATTTGCAATTAGTATGTGCTCTAAAGTGGCTTCAATGATTGAATCTCTTCAAACTCCTGTTAACATGAAGCTTCAATTAATTCCTGTTTTAAGACATATGCATCATGATGCCAATACAGCTGCTCTTGTTAAAACACTTTGCATAAATTTATTGCCGAAATATCCTTCAGAAAGTTTCGTTTGTGTCACACTTGATTCATTATCTCAACTTAGCTGCGCTACACTTGTTGATATTCCTGAACAAGTCAATCTTCTGATAAGCTACTTGCAAGATCCTCGTGTGAGAGTCAGATTGTGTGTTCTTCGTTCACTTCAATCGCTTGCTGAGAAAGGTGCTCATTTATGGCCAAATGGATCTGTTAACAGTTTAATATCAGTCGCAATAGCAATGCGTGGCGATAGTTACGAGCATGGATTGATGCTGTCAATTGTCCTTACATTAACTAAATGTCCTTTGATTGCTGGGTCGAGAGAAGAAGAAGGAAGAATTCTTGAGCTTTGCACTTCATGTTTCAGCACTCTCAATCATAAAACAAACATTTTGGCAATCGCAATCCTAACCAGCGTCATTACTTATTGCTATAGTGAAGAAATTCCACCACCACAATCATATCTCAATGAAATCAACTCACATCACGAGAAACTTATCCTTTCATGTCTCAAAGACGACGCTCACGTTAAAGAACTGTGCAAATATTTGAAATGTGGTGTACGATTAGCAGAGAAAAACGAAGGAATTGCAATGGATTTTACAAAATTGATGGGGAAAATTCTGACAGAAGAGACGCAATTAAATCAAAAACAGTCTGAGTTGATATGCGAGACGTTGGCATCACTTTGTAGTCATTTCATGAAAGATCGATATCAAAATATGTTTTTAAAATCATCGCCAGATTCAATGGAAGTAGACGAAACAAATCACGTCAATCCTTTTCATGAACTTCTTCCAAATCTTCTTAAGCGACTTGAAAATCTCGTCACACCGAAATTTCATAAAAAAGACTCGCATTTCATTGAAATTCTCGCTGCTGTTTGCCTTCAATCAATGATAGGATTTCACATAACTCGAGAAATGCACGAAGTGTTTAATAAAGTTCTCAATGCTATTGACAATTGGAGTCAATATCGCATCGCAAGATCAGCTTCACGCTATGGACATCCATTCATTGCTACAAAAATCTATGAAAAAGTATCGAAGAATGTCTCGCAAGAGAAGTTTTACTTTTATTTGTCGGGATTAACTCAAATGTCAATGGCTGAATGTATTCTCCTTTACGGATATGAGTTTGATGAACTTGAAGAGAGAATTATGAGTGAAGAATGTGAAGAAAGTGAATTGAATTTAATTCGTCGATTAGAGAAATCAATTGCACATTATTGGAAAGCTTTGGCATCATTGAAAGCAGCATCGTCGCACATTCATTCGCTTTCATTTCAAACTGAATTTGTCTGGCTACGTGCTTCATTCTTGGAAGCTTTGCTTTCAATTGTCATCGTACGAAATACTCAATACATAACGCCACCACCTGCAATCGCACAAACAGTCGCACAGAATTCTCGTGATCCACTTCAAAAGTACGGCCACATCACAAATCAATTAAGGAAATGTGTAAAGTTGTTGAAAGTTTGTGAAGATAATTATTCAGTTCTTTACAAGTCATCGTTCGATGCCGATCCTTGTACATTAGAACAATTGGAGATAGCACAATATCAATGCGCAATCTTTGGTTATTCCTTGGAAACAATTTGCTTCTCAAATTCACAAGATAATTTAAATATCCCCACTCAAGGAAGTTACCCAGAAACAGCTTTTGCCATGGCGACATGCAAGAAAATTTTCCAAGAATTTGAGAAACTTCCAGTTGATGTTGGTGGAAAAACAATAACAAATCATCATACTGAAGTGATCTTGAACCAAATTGAAATGGCAATAAAAGCGCCACTTTGTTTTCCAAGACTTTTCTTTCAAGTTCAACAAAATACTTCAATCAAACTCAGCATGTCGCCATTTCCGAGAGTTGCTGGTGAAGCGATTCTTGTCCAACCTGGCCACAATCTTGTTGTGAAAGTTGAAGGAGTGATTCAAAATTCAGGAGCAAAACCGAATCTTTATCGTTCAATTGAGTCTGTTCAGTTGACATTGACATCTCAACTTACGACGCCTCGAACGGTTGATATTAAACCAATGAACGATACAATCACTCTTGTTCAAACAACGAAACCGTCAAGAGACTTTCTCAGTGCAAACTTTCTTCTCTCACTTAATCAAAATGGCACGAGTGGACAGCAATGGCAAGTTACACTCGAATCATGTATTATTGATGGACATGGCGTCTTGTGGAACACTCTGGGACCAAAAAAGTAAGTTTTAACATTACTTTTGCAACACTTTATTTGATTATAATAATTCAATTTTGTTTTTCTTTTTCCTTCCTTTACTCAGCACGCTGATTGTACGCGTTCCACCAGAAAACAGCGCAATGGCTTTCAAGAAATAAATAATTTTCTTTTGACTAAGTATCTGGATATATAAATAACAATATTTTTGATCTATAATTAATAAAAAGTAATAAATTTCCGACAAAAATGTTTTGATTTCATATTTAAAAGTTTGGAAGTTTTTGATCATTAACTTCACATGACACATAAATTATCAATAACTGTTTTATTAACCTTTTTTCTCTCTCTCTGTCTGCTTATTTTTTTGCCTTTAATTACATATTTATTTATTTTGTGTGTATTCACGCTTTCCATATGGGACATTTTCAATAATGGAAAAAGTTATGAATTCATGTAGCTTATCACAAAAAAAGAGTTAAATATTGACACAAACTCTTTTAACGATGAGACTTTCATGTTTGTAATAATTTATATCACAGGAAAATGTAAAACAGTCATAATAATTAACTTGGAAAATTTTCATTGCGTTAAAGTTTTTAATTTATTTAATTAAATTTTTTGTTGAAAAATTTTATGTTTCGAGCCATTACAAAAAATTAATGTGTCACTTTTGATGAGCTGTTTTATTTAACTATCTAATAACTGGCCAAGTCCAAAAACATGTCATAAAATTTTATTTTTGAGACATTAAAAATATTCGTTCTAAATTGTTGCTTCCGTTGTCTGATGAATTAGCAGAAATTACCACTTACTCAGTAACGAATTTATGAAACAAAGTCTTATCTGCATATTCCAAGCTGACACGCCATTTAAATTAGAACTTTAGCTGAACATATTCAACTTGAAACCAAAAATAATTTTATCTAATTTTCCCATTAAATGAATTTTCTTTCTTCTTCTTCTTTTCAACTCAGCAACATTAAGTGAATAAATAATAAATTTCCTGTGGTAATTTTCTCAGAACTTCTTTACAAAAAAAGATTTTTCATGTTTCACTGTATGAATATGAGAAAAAGGCAGAAGTAAAACAATTACGATTAGATACTTTCACAAATAATGGGCTGTTGGAAGCAACATTCGCATGAAACAAGTTTAAGAAAATTACTTTTCTTTTCAAGCTTTCGATGTGAAAAGAAAATCAAAGAAAATATTTCCTTTTTCCCTAGAACTTAAATGTTTATTTATGAAATAAGTCGAGAGACACAAATTATTTTGATTTATTCTTAATGCTTAGATGTGAGAGTCGTGTTCAAAGGAAACACTTTCCCCATCACTGAAATATTTATTAAGACTGCCGAGGAAATCTCATTTAAAGCATTTCTTAGTTAGTTGTTTTCATAAACTTCTCTTTTAATAGCACTTCATTTATATTTTCTTATTTCTACCCCAAAAAGGTCATAAATGACAAAGAAAACTCTCAATACTAAAGCTGAGATGATTCCGCATAACGACAAAGCATTAAACAAAGAATAAATGAAACTCTGCTGAATACTTTTTGGTTTTTGTTTTTATTTGTTGTGTATGTTGCCAAACAAGCTTACCTAGCAATTTGTTGTTTTACTTCTAACTCATTAATAGTAACAATGGAAAAACTTTCATGAGTGATTACGTTGAAATTAAGTTTGGACTTCTCTCTTCTAATTTATTCTTAGTTTCTAATTCCACTTAATCCTTCAGTCGTGAATACGACAAAAAGAAAGACTTATTTAGTTTAATACTTAGAAGGACATTCTGATTCTCATTTTCTTCTTAAGACACGACATCATGTCAACAACCGAAAAAGTAGAACACAGCATAATTCAAAGCATTTTAAAATTGAATGTCATTAATCCCATTTTCAACATAAGCGAGACTTAGTATGCACGTGTAGGTTTCACTTCAAAGGATGTAATTTGAAATGTTCTCAGTTTATGAAAACCACAAAACTGAGGTAAGTTTACAGCATCTCAAAGTCTTACGTCGAATATGGTTTTGAAACTTAATTATATTTTCATTTCATCAACTTTTGTCGTTTCACTGCTTTATGATATTTTTGAAGGCTTCATTTCTTCATTTCAGAAGATTTCTTTCACTTGTGTTATTTAAATTGAATATCATGGAAAATAGAATCAGATAAAAAATTTCTGATGAAATAATTGAAAGATTCTTTGAAATTTTCCAGACATTTCTATTTCCGAGATTCATTGAAAGAATTAATGAATCGTTTCATCACAGGTTATTTTAATAAACATGATCGATACAAATATTTTTCATTCTACTGACGCTTTAAAAGCATTTCAAT